CGAGCTCTTACACATCTAATCAAACAACTCAATTTTTGACCAGTCAAAACATCGAACTGATGGGTCATCCGCCGTACAGTCCTGATTTGGCACCCAATGAATTCTTTTTGTTCCCGAGCGTGAAGAAAAAACTACGTGGTCAACGTTTTTTGACGCCCGAAGAAGCAGTTGATGCGTTCAAAACACATGTTTTGGAGATATCAGTTTCGGAGTGGCATGAATGCTATGACAAATGTGTATCGATCATCACGGAGAATATTTTGAAAAACAATAAAGTCATTTTCAATAATAAATGTTTATCTGTGTTTGCTATTCTCAATATATAAGTAACAGCCTACGTACAGTTTTTTTCGTTCGCATTTGATAGCCACATAGATAATGAAGAAAATAGGGTGGGTGTGATAATGGAAGAACATTTTGAAATCATTTTAAGTGCTGCTCTGTTTATAAACACAAAATACCATATCAAATCCAACACCGAATGCCGAAAAGAATACTAAAGACAAATCTATATTTTAAATTTAAGAAAAAACAATTTAATAAAATTCCACAATTGGCTTTTTTTTTTAAATTTAAAAATTTAAAATGAAATCATTTTTTGTTTTATCAAATTAAGAATAGAATAATAATTTGAATTTATTGATTGTAATAATTCCTTACAATCGATCCAAATCTTTTTTTTTCTTTCTCTCTTTCAAGTGTTGGCCAGTAATGAAGAAGTTGTGGCTGCATCATGTGCCGATGTTATCGTTAAAGAAAAACATGAACCCCGTGAAAAGCGTCCTATTTTTCTCGAATACATTGATAGTTGCCGAGCTGTGGAAGGTTACCCGATAAAATTGGAAGCAAGAGTGGCTGCACACCCAAAGCCAACGATTGAATGGTATCACGATGGCGAAAAAATTGAATCCGATCAAGACCATGTGAAAATTGTTCAAAAAGAAGATGGTACGACTAGCTGTTTAATCGACACCGTTCGAATGTGTGATCGCGGCGAGTATAAAATAATTGCAAAAAACAATCTTGGAAAAGCTTTTACGAGTGGCTATTTAGCCGTATCATCTCAAGCAACCGGTCGCGAACCACGAAAAGAAAAACCCGACTTCGTTGTTGATTTATTCGATCGAAATGTCAAAGAGGGTACTCCATTATCACTTGATGTAAAAATAGCATCATACGCTGAGCCAGAAATAAAATGGTTACACGATGGGGAACAAATTTTACCAGACAATAAACATATAATAATTTCACAAAAACCTGACGGTAGTTCTTCTTTGAAAATTGATAAAGTAAAATCAAAAGATGCCGGGGAATATATTGTAATATGTGCCAATGAGATCGGTGCCGCTACATCTAAGGCAACAATTAAAGTTTTACCTGAGGCCAACGATAATGACGATTATATTGAAACAAAACCACGGTTCATAGTTAAATTAGAGGATCAAGATGTACAAAAAGGGCAAACTCTTGAATTGGAAGCAAAAATTAATCCATGTGTAGAAGAAGTAAAATGGTTGCACGATGAAAAAGAAATTCTTGATAATGGAGACCGAATCAAAATATCTACCGATGCAGATGGAGTATCGAAATTATCAATTCACGACATTGTTCCAGAAGATGGAGGAGATTATAGAGTTGTTGCTTCAAATCAGCAAGGTCGAGCTTCGTCAAGCGCTTCGGTTTCAATTGTTCCCGAGAAAGTTGAAAAAGTCGAAGCTGA